ATAGTACGGATCCCTGCCCACGTTGGAGTGTTTGGCAACGAACACGCAGACAAAGCAGCCAAATCTGCACTAAAATTAGAAGAAGTAAGCATCAACCTACCAATGTAAAAAGATTAAATTAAAAGTAATACAAAAGTGGCAAAATAACTATCAGAAATAACTAAACTACAAACAGGCGACACTAAGTTAAACTCCCCCCTACACCAAACTAAAAAAACATCAATCCTGGAAATGCCCCCACTGCAACTTAAAAGAAACTCCTGAACACATAATACTATGTTGCACACAGTACCAGCAACATAGAACAACACTCCAATCCACTCTAAACTGCAACAATCAAATGACACTAGCAACGGTACTAAACCCGCTAAATGACTTACAAACCTTTAAAGCACTAGGCATATATCTAACCAAAACAGGCCTACTCGGCCGCATCTAACAAAGTACAACAAACAAGTTGCCAATAAACCTTAAAATTCTAAATCTACAAAAACATACTTAGAACTACATCTACTAAAACTACATTTAGTCCCCCCTCCATCTTTTGCATGGCATATTTCAAAATTCCAAATTTGTTATCCAAATTAAGTAAACAACCCTAAAAGCTCCCCTAGGTTGCCCCACCTTCTCGGACATACCCTTTTCGACCAAACACTGAGTGGCCTGGCGGGCCCGTGCGCGAAATACGCACGTTAAAGTCCCAATTTAAAAAAGTAAATAAGTAGACCCCACGTATCTGAGACACTCGACATGTGTATACGTGTATCAACTTTTGCACAAACCAAGTGTAGCAGTAGTTTGTCTGATTAACGAGCAGAAGCTCATCTTACAACTTACCACTATGTGGAACAGATAAACATCACAGTATTTGACCTATCATTTTAAAACCGTCTATGGATCATGTCTTTGAAAATCATTTACAAGTTCAACACATAAGGAAGACATCTTTAATTTGGGGAACACAATGTTTTGGAGTGTATACTTGCTCCTTCACCTGATGAAAGAGTAAATATTACTTCGAAACATTGTGTTCCTCATAATAAAGTTACCATCCATAAATTCTCTTCCTTACATGTATGTATCATCCGTGTATCACCTGGTTTCTACTTCGTTTTGAGGAAAGTTATTCCGTTTTCATAAGCACAACAAAGCGAAATGTATTTTCATATATTTAATCCTGAATGCTAAATGCTAAACAGAGACTGTGATGGCCGCTGTTAACACTCGGCATTTCAGGCATTTACGGACGAACGCAAGTCCTTATTGTGTATGAATCAAATGAACTGAGGACCAAAACCGGGGTGTATTCAGGCACCACTGGGAATTGCGTTCTCATACACTACTCCCAATTCCGAAGACTATTGATAACTTATACAAATGAGTTACACACATCAGGGAATATAAACATTTTTCCATTAATTTCTTATTGATTAATATAGAATAGGTCATGGATCCTTGCGGAAAAAATACAGTTTTAAGAACATAATTTTTTATCCATGTAAAGCTTTATACTGTTAATGGACCTAGCACTATCGCGCCACTTTCACGGCACTATCGCGCCACTTTCACGGCACTATCACGGCACTTTTGCGCCACTTACGCGAAACTTCGCGGCATTAGCGCGCAACTTTCGCGGCATTTTCTAGCCACTTTCGCGGTATTATCGCGCCACTTTCGAGTCACTTTCGCGATACTTTCACGGCACTATCGCGAACGTATAGCGAAATAGTTGCGCGATACAGGGGAAGTGACTTTTGAAATGTAGTGTAGGTCTTCACCAACCCATGCCTGCCATAAAAAGGCGACTATTCTCTGTATGGTTTGACTTCTAATTTAGTGGTTGCTCCGAAGGAGATAAATTTAGGTGCTTCTGGATATTGAGCTGATTTTTGGAAATTGATAATGACTATTGGTGTGTTTGAGATTTTACCGTTTCTATTTGAAGTTATTCTTCGGGTGCTAGTTATTTTAGGTTGGGGGTAAATATCTTGGTTATCGTTAGCATCTTGTGCGTACATGTCTAAGTCTTCGTTGTTTTCTTTAGGATTTACTCTGATTACGCCCCTAGTGAATAGCTGCCAGTTAGGGGTTTGATGAGTTACTGTGTATTGGAAGATTTGGGTGATTTTTTTGGCTGCGTTTAGGGAGTCCTGGTCTAGAAAACTTATTTGGAAACCTTTGTTAGCCTCTTTAATTTTGTCGAAGTGAATTTTGTGCTGTTTGAACCAGATTCCTACTTTATTGGCTGTGAGACATTTAGAAAGGACGTGTATTACATCTTCCACGTTTATGATGTTATATAACGCATGACTCTTCCTGTTATGTCGTGCACCTGCTTAGCATTGTGAGTAGACAATGTAATTAACTATCCGAGTTGTCTCGCTATAAGTTACATAATAAACTGTGGGGTGCTTTTTTTATTGGAGTAAATATTCTGAGTATATTCATTGTGAATAATGTTGCAGTCTGGTTCGCTCTCGAATGTCTAGAGAATAAAGAATTTATCAAATCACAACTATATCTGCAGACCCCGCCACCAAAAACCCTAATCCTTTCAGATTCATTAAGTGGGCTCCAGGCTATAAAAAAACTAAACCACAAAAAACCCGCCCAAAACTGATACAACAGATAATTAAAAGCGCCAACAATCTACGTAAACTAGGTGAAGACATAGAAATAGTACGGATCCCTGCCCACGTTGGAGTGTTTGGCAACGAACACGCAGACAAAGCAGCCAAATCTGCACTAAAATTAGAAGAAGTAAGCATCAACCTACCAATGTAAAAAGATTAAATTAAAAGTAATACAAAAGTGGCAAAATAACTATCAGAAATAACTAAACTACAAACAGGCGACACTAAGTTAAACTCCCCCCTACACCAAACTAAAAAAACATCAATCCTGGAAATGCCCCCACTGCAACTTAAAAGAAACTCCTGAACACATAATACTATGTTGCACACAGTACCAGCAACATAGAACAACACTCCAATCCACTCTAAACTGCAACAATCAAATGACACTAGCAACGGTACTAAACCCGCTAAATGACTTACAAACCTTTAAAGCACTAGGCATATATCTAACCAAAACAGGCCTACTCGGCCGCATCTAACAAAGTACAACAAACAAGTTGCCAATAAACCTTAAAATTCTAAATCTACAAAAACATACTTAGAACTACATCTACTAAAACTACATTTAGTCCCCCCTCCATCTTTTGCATGGCATATTTCAAAATTCCAAATTTGTTATCCAAATTAAGTAAACAACCCTAAAAGCTCCCCTAGGTTGCCCCACCTTCTCGGACATACCCTTTTCGACCAAACACTAAATGGCCTGGCGGGCCCGTGCGCGAAATACGCACGTTAAAGTCCCAATTTAAAAAAGTAAATAAGTAGACCCCGCGTATCTGAGACACTCGACATGTGTATACGTGTATCAACTTTTGCACAAACCAAGTGTAGCAGTAGTTTGTCTGATTAACGAGCAGAAGCTCATCTTACAACTTACCACTATGTGGAACAGATAAACATCACAGTATTTGACCTATCATTTTAAAACCGTCTATGGATCATGTCTTTGAAAATCATTTACAAGTTCAACACATAAGGAAGACATCTTTAATTTGGGGAACACAATGTTTTGGAGTGTATACTTGCTCCTTCACCTGATGAAAGAGTAAATATTACTTCGAAACATTGTGTTCCTCATAATAAAGTTACCATCCATAAATTCTCTTCCTTACATGTATGTATCATCCGTGTATCACCTGGTTTCTACTTCGTTTTGAGGAAAGTTATTCCGTTTTCATAAGCACAACAAAGCGAAATGTATTTTCATATATTTAATCCTGAATGCTAAATGCTAAACAGAGACTGTGATGGCCGCTGTTAACACTCGGCATTTCAGGCATTTACGGACGAACGCAAGTCCTTATTGTGTATGAATCAAATGAACTGAGGACCAAAACCGGGGTGTATTCAGGCACCACTGGGAATTGCGTTCTCATACACTACTCCCAATTCCGAAGACTATTGATAACTTATACAAATGAGTTACACACATCAGGGAATATAAACATTTTTCCATTAATTTCTTATTGATTAATATAGAATAGGTCATGGATCCTTGCGGAAAAAATACAGTTTTAAGAACATAATTTTTTATCCATGTAAAGCTTTATACTGTTAATGGACCTAGCACCTACACCTCTTTAAATATAATACGAGCAACATGCTTATATAGCTCCAGGTTAGATTGAACATACATCCGACATACATGGGGAAGTAACGCACGACAGCATTTCTGAAGTGTACATGCAGTGTACCAATATGCCGCCACTTTCTCGGCTATTACCGACTTTTGCGGCACTATCGCGCCACTTTCACGGCACTATCGCGCCACTATCGCGCCACTATCGCGCCACTTTCACGGCACTATCGCGCCACTTTCACGGCACTATCACGGCACTTTTGCGCCACTTACGCGAAACTTCGCGGCATTAGCGCGCAACTTTCGCGGCATTTTCTAGCCACTTTCGCGGTATTATCGCACCACTTTCGAGTCACTTTCGCGATACTTTCACGGCACTATCGCGAACGTATAGCGAAATAGTTGCGCGATACAGGGGAAGTGACTTTTGAAATGTAGTGTAGGTCTTCACCAACCCATGCCTGCCATAAAAGGCGACTATGCTTGTCGTAAACGGCGACTAACGGGATCGGGATGCACGTCATCGATCCCAATTGCGCGTATCGATGCTCATGATGTCAATCACTGGATTGTCTGGTCTAGGCTTGATTATTTACAGACCGCCGTCATATAGCTGGAATGTTGCTGAGTGCGGCGTTAAACAACACACACACACACAACTGAACAACTGACCCAATCTTCCAAACAAACAAACAAACAAACAAACAAACAAACAAAGAAACAAACAAACGTCTGTCCTTATCACGACTACTAGTTGAGGAGCATATTCTACACACTCTACTCACATACGTGTACTCCTCCGGAGCAGGGCAGTCGGCCGAGTTCGTCTTCACCGCTTCACTGATCCTTCCACACTGAGGCGCAAACAGGATTCAACGTTACTTTCCGCTCCCATGTAACTATGCGCCTGTACCCTGATCCGGGTTACATTGTATTCTCCGCAGCCTATGTTAGTGAGAGGCGACTAACTCAATCGGCTGGTCTGGCTCGGTGATTTGGTTAATGGAGTATCATCGTACTCCGATAACAATATATCACTGGTTTGTCTGGTTCAAACACGATTATTTACAGGCAGCTAATATACAGTTAACTACGGTATTACCGAACTCAAATGGACCACTAATTTTAGTTCGTAGAAACCGTAGTTCGTTATAAGCATATACACATGTACAGTAAACTATGTTTATAACGAACACGCTTATAACGAACTGAACGATATAACAAACATATTTTTTAGTCCCGGCCATTTGTTGTGTATGTACTGTACATATGCTTATAACGAACTACGGTTATTACGAACTAAAATAGTGGTCCCTTTGAGTTCGTTATAACCGTAGTTTACTGTATACAACAAATGGCCCGGACTAAACATAAGTTCGTCATATCGGTCAGTTCGTTATAAGCGTGTTCGTTATAAACGTAGATCACTGAAATTTGAATAGTGCGGCGTTAGACAATAGTAAACAAAAAAGATGAACGAAAATGTTTTTTTTTTACTTTATTATATGTCATCGTAGTTTATTTCAGCATTCACTTGAGCCATCGTCCCATGTTACAGCAGCAACAATTATGTTGTCACAATATGTTTTTCCTAAGCTGCATAGTCTCTTTAACACACGCTGCCAGATTTCAATACAACCAACATGTACACTTCTTTCATAAATCGTTTATTACTCTGTCTTACTGCATAATTGGCAGTGGTCGTGTTCTTCGGGTGGAGGGGTCACGGGTGGCCCAGTCGTCTAAGGCGCCGCGATTCGCTGTGCAGAGTTGCGTCCCTTGGGCACGCCAGAAACCTATGATGGTGGGTTCGAATCCCGGTTCGCCCCAACTATGTTTCTAGGTTTATTAGCACCAAACCCGTGCTCGTGGGTTTCACCGAAGTGGTAAACGTCTGAGACCTGCATCACTTCGGGCTTTCCTCCCACATTAAGCTGACACGCCGTGATATAACTGGAATAATGTTAAAAGCGGAGGTGGAGATCGAGGTCAGGACAGGCGGTGTCTAATACGGAACCAAATCACTCAGGCATTTCTGGCGTTACCAACATGTCGGAACTACAACATCCGTGTCTACGTCATTTGTGTGGCTTGATTGGTTGCTGATAATATTGACGATGTGATCGACTTCCAGTGAATGTCCGGTTCTTCGTTGCTATCTATGGGGATGAAATTGTTTCAGTTTGGGTCATGTCGACATACGTTCTAATGGCATCTCTCAATTATGAGAGGGATATCGTCTTCTGTGACAGTGGCTTCACTCAGTACTGACAAGATGATGTCTGTAGATAATCAATTTGGACCAGACATTCCAGTGATTGATTACATGAGCATCCAACCATGCAATTGGGATACAATGACATGCCTTAACCAAGTCAGCAAGCCTGACTACCCGATCCCGTTAGTCGCCTCTTACGACAAGCATAAAAGCCCTTTCCGGTAAGCATGGGTTGCTGAAGACTTATTTCGGATCTTTACGGATGTGCTCATGATATCAATCACTTGATTGTCTGGTCAATACGCGATTATTTACAGACCGCCGTCATATATCTAGAATATTGCTGAGTGGGGCTTTCAACAACAAACAAACATTTGTTAATTACTCCGACGCCGTGGATCGTAGCTCATAATATCAATTACTGGGTTGTCTGGTTAAGACTGGATAATTTACATTTATGAGCTGAAATGTTGCACATTGCATCGTTAAACAAACAACAATTATCTTTTAGGAAGACTTCACTGGATCCAGATCAATGACATCAAAACAGATTGATGTGTCAGCTTGACCATACTATATTGTAGGGGCGGTCGGGTAGCCCAGTGGTTAAAGCGTTCGCTCGTCACGCCGAAGACCCGGGTTCGATTCCCGACATGGGTACAATGTGTGAAGCCTATTTCTGGTGTCCCCCGCCGTGATATTGCTGGAATATTGCTAAAAGCGGCGTAAAAACATACTCACTCACTCACTACTATATTGTAGGTCATTGTATACGTAACGGAATATCAAGGACATGATCGGAAATGAAGCCAAGAGGACAGAGGGCAAAGAGCACTGCCATCCGGTAGCCGGTGTCATCTGGTGACTAAGTGGATGTATCTGGTTATCTCTATATGGGACGTGTGAAGATCCGGGTTAAAAATTGGTCATCAGCAACCCGTGCTTGTCTTAACAGGCGACTATGCTTATAACAGGCGACAAACTTGCAGACCCGATTTGCGTAGGATCGATGCACATGATGTCAATCACTGGATAGTCTGGTCTGGAATAATGCTAAATGTGGCATTAAAAAAACAAACAAATAAACAAACATAGGAATTCAAGTTTGTTCAGTACATCAACATTGGAATCTTAACATGACCGTCAGGGAGCCATCACTCTCGTGCCTAAATTCCAGTATTTCTTTCTCTCTCGCTCGGGAAAAACCGCAATATAGACACTCGTGTCGTAAACATAGTATAACATGAACGCTCGTATAATATCCTTTATATATTTAATCATGACCTTGACTTTGACATTGAAACCAATACAGCAGAAACTCCACACGCCTCTTCCAACCAATAATAACACCTGAATTTGTTCAAGTCGAATCGAATTTCCAATATGGCCATCACGTAGCCGTATTTAGAAACAAATTCAGTTTAAATGTGGAGATAGTAGTTGGTCTCAAAACAGGCTCCTCCTTTTTTTCACAAAACGTTTTAAGTTAGAGAAATGAAATTTACACACGTCTATCACTGGTCATGATCTAAGTGAGTTAGTGTCTTAAATGCACTTTTTGAGAGTTATAGTCCTTGCTCTGTGTTTTTTAACTTGGTGCATATTGCGTCAAACGGGGACAAGTTTTCTCAGGAACTACTGAAGTTACCTGAATAAGAGTGTGCATGCTTATCGGAGAAATACTTGTCAAGACTGAGTTCGCAAATTGGTGACCTTTATTTGTTTTAAAAACAGAGTTATGGCCCTTGCTCCGTGCTTAGATACATGAATTGAAGCGATACTTGTCAAGACAGAGTCCGCATTGGTGCCGTAATTTCTTTCAGAGAAGGGTCCTTTTGTGTGTAATTATGTCACATTTAATCATTTTACCCACCTGAACTAGAATAAAGCCGACCAGGGAGACCGCCTCGTCTGTTTCATATTAAGATCTGTGTATAAAGATTCAGAGTGACTAAACACTCTCCACAAGACTGTATGACGAGACGGATGTCTTCAACTTTCCAATTGTCAACTTTCCCTTAATGTCAAGAAATATTCAACAGCTGCAGTCTTTGATGTCTAGATTTCACTACTTTTGAGATACAATCGAACATGTTCTTTCTATCAAGTTACCAAAGACCACCATACGACTCTTGCTCAAACGTTGTTTCATCGTCGCTACAACAATGCATGAGTAAATCTTTCATAAGCGTTTATGGCAGACATGTGGAGGACGTTTCCAAACGTGCCGCATCAGTGACGAAAATGATCCTGTTTTGACTTACTACATGTTCTCGTGTTTTTCAGGTGAACAATTGACTTGCCTTTGCATGTGTTTGTGACGGGTGCCACCGGTGGGGCGGGATACGCTCACCTTTTCGCATACACCTGGTATCATCACTATTTGATAGTGATTAAAAAAAAACAAGCTCATGATATAGTGGGTTTCGTAAAATCGATGTCTTATGAGTGAGTGAGTGAGTGAGTGAGTATGGATTTACGCCGCTTTTAGTAATATTCCAGCAATATCACGGCGAAATGGGTGAACGCTTTAACCACAAGGATACCCAACCGCCCCAGATTTCCTAAAAACATGGAAATAAATGGACTCCATCGTACCAGAACAGATCCCATTAGTCGTAAATATTGATAAAAATTGTATGAATGGATTACTGAAATTGAGTGATGACACCAGTGTTCACGAAACAAATTTACCAAAGTAATTATGTTTCACAATCTGAGGGGATTTGACAGTCATGAAATTATGAAACAATTAGAAACGACCTTTAGAGGTGCATGTAACACTGCTAATAACATGGATGAGTATATCTCCTTTTCTCGAAGTAACCTTACATTCATCGATGCTCGGCCGTCACTGACAACATCTTTGAAAAAATTTCGTCAACAGTTTAAAAGCAGAAAGTACTGACAGTTTACACAACTGGCACATGAAGTTCCAGATCAGCAACGAAACAGTTTGTCGAACGTACTAACACTCATCTGTCACACGAACTAACACTCATCCATCACACGTACGTACATTCATCTGTCACACGTACTTACATTCATCTGTCACACGTACTAACATTCATGTGTCACGTACTTACACTCATCCATCACACGTACGTACATTCATCTGTCACACGTACTTACATTATCTGTCTCACGTACTTACATTCACCTGTCACACGTACTAACATTCATGTGTCACACGTACTTACATTCATCTGTCACACGTACTTACATTCATCTGTCACGTACTTACATTATCTGTCTCACGTACTTACATTATCTGTCACACGTACTTACATTATCTGTCACACGTACTAACATTATCTGTCACGTACTTACATTATCTGTCACACGTACTTACATTATCTGTCACGTACTTACATTATCTGTCACACGTACTTACATTATCTGTCTCACGTACTTACATTCATCTGTCACGTACTTACATTATCTGTCTCACGTACTTACATTCATCTGTCACGTACTTACATTATCTGTCTCACGTACTTACATTCATCTGTCAAACGTACTTACATTATCTGTCACACGTACTTACATTATCTGTCACACGTACTTACATTATCTGTCACACGTACTTACATTCATGTGTCACACGTACTTACATTCATCTGTCACGTACTTACATTCATCTGTCACGTACTTACATTATCTGTCTCACGTACTTACATTATCTGTCTCACGTACTTACATTATCTGTCACACGTAC